TCATCTTGATCAGTAATACAGGTTGTCACATTCAAAGCTAAATTAAACATATTTCTTTTCAACAAGTTTCCAGATATTATGCATTTCAAATGTTTCATCTTAAGTTTGACATTAATTTGTTTATCAATTTCTACGGATTTTGTATCGGATCCTATTTTACTTTTCACTGGCATACTTCAGCCTTGCGCAGAGTAATTATAATACCGATTCTCCAAGCATAGCATACCTCTATTATAAACTTCTTTGTTGACCCTAACGTCGTTAAGGTAAGGTAGATTCTACAAGTAGCAATTATAATACCGATTCTAAGGTAGAGTAATTATAATACATAGCATACCTCTATTATAAACTTCTTTGTTGTCGTTTAAGGTAGAGTAATACCGATTCTACAAGCATATACTATAAACTTCTTTGTTGACCCTAACGTCGTTTAAGGTAGAGTAATTATAATACCGATTCTACAAGCATAGCATACCTCTATTATAAACTTCTTTGTTGACCCTAACGTCGTTTAAGGTAGAGTAATTATAATACCGATTCTACAAGCATAGCATACCTCTATTATAAACTTCTTTGTTGACCCTAACGTCGTTTAAGGTAGAGTAATTATAATACCGATTCTACAAGCATAGCATACCTCTATTATAAACTTCTTTGTTGACCCTAACGTCGTTTAAGGTAGAGTAATTATAATACCGATTCTACAAGCATAGCATACCTCTATTATAAACTTCTTTGTTGACCCTAACGTCGTTTAGGGTAGATAGGAACTAGTTTGTTCCTGGTTAGATATTTAACATATTGATGTAAAGCAGTAAAATTAGGATTCATAATCAATTCCCATTAGGTGTATAACAATGTTATTAGATACTCCGAAAACGTTATCCACATATCATAAATACAAAATTTAGCTAAGTTCAGGATATCGTTACTGCTGTTTTATGAACCAAACTACACCAATCACCTGTTTTGTCCCTTTAGGACTCAATCATAACCCCTCGGGAAAACGTAGGAGAAATTTTAAAAATCTCAATTGACTGAACCATATTGTAAAGCACAGAGTAAGTGGGAACGCACATATTATATTGTACTCAAGTAAAGTGATGCCTTATACATCTATGTCATTATAACCTCTGCCCATAGATAGTTCATATCACTTCTATCGAATGTAAACCTGACTAATACCTAGGTTGAAGTGTTGCGTAAACTTGGTACAATCGACTGGTGCAGTAAAATCGTGTCCTGAATCCATCAAACCATGATATCTAGGTAAAACAGATACTGACACACTACACGTTAGGGGTACACAGGTTCCCTACCGCAGCATGTCTCTGATACGCTGCTCCAACTGTCCTGCATTCAAGCTCGTCTGTTGGAGTTCAGGTCTGATTCTTATCGTGGAGTCTGTCGGGCGGTCTGTGACTGGAACAGAACAATCAGTACCTAGAAATGTTTTAAACTTAAGTGGACACAAACATGTAATATGAGTTACGTCACGGTTAAAAACCATTTTAAGTATCTTTAATAACGAGACAGTCTATAGGAAAATGTGAGAAATATTGCATTAGATATAAAACCATTCCCGTGTCGTTGTATCATACTTTTTGCAAATTGTTCTAACATTTTAACCGCAAACGAAAACGATGTGGATGGAATTTAACATACATTATCAGCTATATCTTTATCATTAATTTCACTAACGAGATACATTGATTTAACTTTTTTATGATAAATAAATGAATTTTTAAACATATATTCACAACAACGAAATTACGTACATGCCAACAAAATCATTATACAGTCTGATTCTAGCATGCAAGGGCAATATATGAACAAAGAATGATTTACAACCGAGATTACTGAAACAGTACAAGGAGAATAAGACCAGATGAAACTGAACGTATGTTTGTTGTCATATTGTAGAACGTAGTTTATGATTTTAAGACTTTGTTTTTTTTTGTTTTTTTTTTTTTTTTTTTTTGGGGGGGGGGGGGGGGTTGTTCCATTAATATTTTACCGATAAATAAGATTCTGTAGTTAGTTTGTTTATTATACAATAAATGCATTTTATCAGGGTGACGCCCAACTCCGAAGTCTGTCCCCGAATTACTCATTCTTGAGCTTAGCGATTGACATATAAATTCCATATCAACAGCGCCTGCTGAAAACTCTCAGAGAGCTAAATGGTTTTATCAATCTAGTATCTCCAGAATCACTCCTGAACGACCTTTACTTGGTAATTTATCGACGGGGGAAATTACGCAAGACAGTAAAATGGATTTGATGGGTACAGGAGTTAAATTACTTAACGTAAAAAATGCTGGTAGATAGAAAACAGGATCGCTGGAGATAAGGTGTGTGTCATGATGTATACAGCTTGTACTTGCTTCTCGCAAGCTCGGATCGGGTTAATAAAGAATAGAGTGAAGAGGGTCAAAGTTTAAACACGATTAATCCACAACAGTGCATACGTTCCTTATGTCCATGTTTTCCATCGTTTGAATACTGTGTTCACATCGGGATCAGTTCACGAGGCACGCATGTTCCAATTTCTGAGTCTACGAGATGAAAAATACTTAATTCTTCATATAAATTTACAAAACGAAGAGCTGTTCGCTGTTCAGACCATACGTTATTAAAGTATTTTTGAGTTTTTAAGTGAATAGGATAAAGCATTTTTCTCCGGAGGTTTAAATGAATCCTCTGCAGTTTTCGTTTAATATCAATACCATTTACATTGGTTAATGTGCATCGATAATGTTTTAGTGTTAATAGTGGCTATACTGTTATCATCTTTATGCCGTTTCGAGAAATTTAAAAAAGGTTTCGTTTAAATTATCATTGGCGGATTCCTCTCGTTATATCCGATACATATTTCTACTTTAAACACATCAGTTTGTAACAATATATCGATATCTGTTGGGAGGGAAGCAAGGACTACCAGCATCACGAGAGGCCAGTCTTCAACTGTGACGAGTTGACAAGACGTTTAACTTGTCTGTGTTAGCTTAAGATATTTGTTATCCTAGCCGAAGGTCAAGAATTCCTGATCTAGTAGATATGTAGAACCTGGACGATAGTTTAGTGAATAAACACAGCTTTGTACTGGTGTAAGATAATCTTTCGGTATTACGGGTCTATCTGGCAAGTAGATATGTAGTAAAATAGCCGGGGGAGCCGGCTAATGTGTGATCTCTCACCCAATACACTGACTTTACACTCCTTACGATTAAATCTAAGTACCGTGATAGGACATCTATTAATCCTTGTGTCGCCATTTCTAATGACATGTCCCTCAATACACCACATTGCACGGCCAGTTGTAATCCCCGCCTGTCACTCTCTCTACCCCTCAAAATATACACTGTCTTACGTAGAGGACGCCCAGTCTGGCTTTGTTAGCGGGGTACGTTAGATGGCGTCGGAACAAAAACACCTTGTCGCTTTAAGACTAACACTTGAACTGAAATCTTTGTCAAAAGCATTCAACAAGGCGCTGTCAAGACGGTATAAGAAGCTAGAAAAGAACAAATATTTTGAGAGCCCGTCTTTATATGCTTTTGTGAAGAGATCAAATTTGCTATTGACAATTTTCTACCTGTCTTTCTTTTCTCTATTACAGGTGTGTTAAAGGACTATCTCAAGCGAAAAAACAGTGTTTAGTGTTACAAAGAAGAGGGGAAGTTAATACACTGAACACCCTACAGGCTGTCGCTATATGACGAGGCTATCCCAAGGCATGAAAAGCCGAGAAAGTACGGACTCGGGGTTACTGTAAGGCCGAGGAACAATAGACCAGTCTGCTCACACACTCAGGCCAGCGTATCCCGTCGGCACTCGCCCGTACCACTATCAAATATCCCGGTAAGAGGGTTATAATGATAGCTTGTCAGTCGCAGCCGTCATACCACGTTATATTCTATTTACCCACCCGGTATACATACACTCTTCTACCTGTGAACTGTCGGCTTTGTCAAGAAAGTGAACATTTTTCTACCTGGATGAGTGATTACCTATAGGTCAGATGCAGTCATTTTGCTTTGATAAAAAAATCGAATAAGAAAAAAATAAACATAATTGGATTTTTTAAATGTTCTTTCATCCGTGTGTTTGTAGAGATTTCCAATCATCTAACGCAATAGCATAGTGTCGAGAGTATTCTCTCTCACAATGTAAGCTTTGCCTGTCTGTTTGACATTATTTATCGTGAGCATACGAGTGTCCCACACCTAACTGGCCAAGAGAGCAATTTAGTGGGTAATAATTTTGACTGGAGAGATAATTATAGGTTTGCGCACGATTGGCCGTTATTGACAATGGGTCCCATCTAGACTCGTCAGAACTCGGTATATCTTCAGTGTTTGGTGAACTCTTGAGGTCCTCATGTCGCAAATACACTGCCAAGCAACGTAGGAAGAAATTAGTGAAGTACATAAAAGTTTTCCTGGTATGTCGCTGTTTCTACAAACCTAAGACAAGGCGATTTTGTACATACACCGGATGATAACGAGAAGTTAAGACTTTGTTTAGAAGAATATCTGACATCAAATGTAGAGTGAGATAATTTGTTTAAAGCCACGGAGAGAGCGATTACTAAATTGTGGGTAACATAGGTCGCCTAAAAGGAATTCTCGTGGAAAGCCAGACGTTGATGTTCAGTATGTAAACACTGTGTGTGAAGCGATGCTGATAGTGAGGTATACCCGGTACGTAACCGATCGCCCGGAATAATGACGGGTCGCCCGTGGCCTACCTGTCAACCTTCATAACATTTAAATGGATATTGTTCTTGCCACGACAAACACCATCTCACGGCCAATTACTCCGGAACAATAACACCATTTTAGACCGCTTACACCGTCCAGGAATCAAACTGTCGGAGACCTATAAGGTAATTCGATGGCGGAACAAATGCTAAGTTCATGAACAATTGTAAGTCTGAGCCTGTCTACTGCTTCTCTAGTAAAATCTGTGTCGGTGTTTATCAGGTTAGGTTTAAGACCTTGTGCCACTTACTGACAGCGGTGTGGATAGTGGTTATGGTGTGCAGGTCCAGTCGATTACATATCGTCAAGTACAACATGTTCAGACTGTGGTACCAGTAATATCTATCAGAATGTTGGAATTTCTGGAGCTACGGGAACCTCTGCGAACGAATTGTAGCGGGATTCCTGATCCGTGGTACTTCAAGGGACATGTACACACGGCTTCCCTAGCAGTGTGTACTGTGCTCATAATATTTGTTCTCATGCTAGGTTGTATTGGCAACGGAATTGTTCTCCTTTCTGCTCTTAAATGGAAGAAGTTACGGACAAATTTTGACGTGTTGGTACTAAACCTAGCAGGTGCAGATTTCCTCACCTGCACATGTCTAGCACCTATTTTCCTGTTCCTCTTATATTCGGACCCACCGACCCCAGTGACGTTCTGTGGGAGTATCTTATTTATGGGGACAGTCAGTGGAATGCTCTCTCAACTGACATTGGTAGCAATTTCTCTCCATCGTCTTTCACGTGTCATCGGCCGGGCCAGGAGCTCATTAACGTTAAAACATACTGGGATAATTCTAGGGATGATCTGGATCGTGAGTCTGTCGGTGTCCTTAGGCGGAACACTTCACGTGACTCTGAACTGGAATGGACAATTGGGAACATGCCAACCGATTATCAACAGTCCAAATCGATTCCAGCAAAATTTTGTCTTGTTCTTCTTAGCTCCAGTGACAATAGTAAGTTTCGCTGTTATCACCGTTTCTTACGCGGTTATTTGCTGGACAGTTCAGAAACAGGGAAGGTTCGTTCCTGAGAGTGTGTCATCCCAGAGGTTCACTGGCGATAGCCATGACAGTCAAACTTCAGAATTTCTCAGGGATAGCCCACAAAAGGGATGCAGCCCAGCTCCCCGTCATTGCTGTACGTGTTCTAGCCAAACCTTTGTGAACAAGGACAACAAAGCATTAACAATGTGTCTGGTGGTCATTTTCACAACTGGACTCTGCTGGGGACCGTTAATTATTTCACAGTTTATCGAAGTCATCACAGGCGAGTCCATTATTCTTTATCAAGTGAAATTATGTGGAATAGCTTTAGTATTTCTCAATAGTGCTCTTGACCCTTATATATACGCCCAGCATATTGGTCAGATGAAACACAGGTATAGCAGATGCTTTAATAGTCTAGTCACCTGCAAATCAGTCAGTCAGCGAGTTGTGTCAAGACTTCCTCGTGGTGGCCAATTAGGGGACATATCCCCTAATAAACGGACTAAGTCTAGCCGTGGTGTTGGTGGTGGGTTTTCCACAGAAAACACAAAGACTGCCGTGTTAGTACCTAGTGGCAATATAAAAAAACTACTCGAAAAGTGCGTGTCAAATTCTACTGCCACCATAGCCCAGAATAGTGTATACCGCAATAACCTTCTTCTCCACACCAGTTCATGCCAACATCACAACCTCGCTCCACGGCTAGCAGACTGCGGGACGTATTTCGTGGGGAAGGGATCCAGTGGTGTTGTCAATGGTTCATGTAGCCAAACGATATCAAAGGAAAGTCAAAGCTTAATGGAGGACCAATAATTTCAACATTATTACGACGTATTTTAAGACATGAATAATTTCCGAATACGACGTTAATTTTCATTGTTCAATGTGCCTTAAAATGACACTATATATGACTCGAATTAACGTTTGATTAAGAATTTATCTTGACAACTGAATGGGAATGATCATGTTATGTAACAATATATCAGTTGTTGTTTTTATAATAAAATTAACATTGTGCTAAATTTTGCTTTGTATAATGTATCCATGAAAGGTGTTGAATACATGTATTTTCCTTCCATAAACATAGGTCGGGAGATATTGACTCATTTAATGTGCTTTAGGTCTGGTATTTTCAATGTTTGCTATAGGTCGCTGTATTGAGGATAGCAAAAATCGCAACATAAATAGCTTGAAAATGAAATAAGTTAAGAAAACTTGCTCGTTCTATGTCTTCCAAAAAATACTTTGCTTCATATGGGCGTTTTTACTCGTAAATTTGCACCTTCGAAAATAACAGAGTTTACAATATGTGACAGAATGAGCCGTTATGTGTATTAGTTTGTGTCTGTGTTAGGTGTTCTTTTGGAGCAAAGAGGAAGGATTGGTGGTGCTTGTTTTAAGTTAAGCATATTTAAAACTGCTGCGTTTATGATTTCACTTACAGGATACTAAAATATAACTCGATATTAATTACATTCCGCGTCAAATCAGTGAGCTTGCCCTTGCAGAATGCAAAAATATTTTGATACAAGAATCTTATATTGCAACAAATCACATTCTAATTAAACAACACGAGGGTATGTCCTAATGGTAATTGGTAGTACATCACATCGAAAGTTAATTCCAACGTATGTGGTAAAATTCAATTACTTTTCACATGTTTGGTTGGGGTTTTAAATGTTAAGAAACTTAAGCGTACCGATGTTGGCAGTTAATAGTTCAGTAAAGGTATGTGTTGCAACAATGTAAGTGATCTTAGCCAAAGCATTCAGAGACATGTCCCGGTCCTGTCTGTGTATGACCGTCTTTGTGTTGTATAATTCCTAACACATATCACTGTTAATGACATCCTTTATAAAAACACTTACTTTTAAAGTAACACGATTAAAACAGAACTAAAACTGAATATGATATTGATATTTTATATTTTATGTCCAGAATAACTGTTTAATTCCTTTACCACGGAAAATAGCCTTTTAAAGACAATTAAAGTAAAATATATTCTTTGTGTGTTTTATCTATTATTTGTTTTTAAGAAAATATGTTTTTGGCTTAAAAACCAATGTCCTTCGGACATACAATGTATGTATAACAGATGTAGACTGTGCACATGCCCCTGCATTAATGAAGATCATTGATATCTGTTCAATATTTGGGTAGTACTATGGTGTTCTGGATATAACTTTACCACCCCTTCACATTTATGTACCATAACACCAGGGCTTTCATGTCCGTGTTTGTCTTTAAGATGAGTACACGAATACTAATGGGAACGAGGATATGTATTTATACAAACAGAAATAAACTTGCGGTTGGTTCTTTAGCACTTCGAATAGATCATGTCTTGGGAAAAAGCCTTGTTAACTATCAGAGGTAAGGGTTGGGGCGCTTTGGGGGAGAGGATTTCTGGGTGTAACGTCAAAAGGAGTTACGTTTATTTTTAAATGATTCTATCTAAGAGTCACCTGTGAATTTCTGCAGAAGGATGAAGTATGCACGAAAGTGATGTGAGAGAGTGTTAAGTGTGTATGTAAGTTACCAGGGAGTGTTAAGTTAATCAGTAAGTGTTAATTACGAAAGTCATGTTTATCGGCATGGTTTGCCAATGAGTGTTCAATTTATCTGTTATTAATGTCAAGGAACGTTAAAATTATCTGTTAGTGATACAAGCGAGCGTTGCCTTTATATTTGAATGATGGCAGAGAATGTTAAATTTATCGGTAAGTGATACAGAGAACGTTAGATTTATCTGCAAGTGAGGCCAGGTAGTGTTGAATGTATCCAAGAAATGTCGGTGAGTGTAAGTTAGAGCCAAGACACTTAAACTACTTTGTATTTGCTGAACAATTGGTGCATGTACATGTTTTGTAATAGGCATTTTTGTGTTCATTTTTAAGATAAGAAAAATAAATCTTAATAACTTATAAATAAATCTAGTTTCATGTGATGTTTTTGTGTTACCCGAAACTACCTATGCCTAGATGATTAGTGTTTGGTCTTTAATCTGAGCTCCAATCGGACACCTCAGTGTTTACCTACATCAGACGGCATCCAGCTACACACAATGCCTCAGTGTATCATGTGCAATATTAGACACCGAAAAGCGGAAAGGACCGCGAGATATTGTCTAAGTTATACTTCATTTTCTACAGGCTCACATGCTAACGCTACAAATATTCGATATTATTTTATAAAATATAACAAACTTCGATATTAATTACATAACAGGTGCGACTTTCCTCGGGGGACACACTTGGCAACCAACCTTAACTCTAATATGTGAAATTTGTATTTCTTTTTACGTATCTTTTTCAGCACAATTTAAATTTGTATTAAAACCTATCAAGCCATCTCTCAATTACAATTTATCAACAAATAACGACAGAAGTTTTCTATCTCCTTATAGGTGATAAATGTATTCTGAAGTATGTTGAGGACTAGAGGTGATTTGGAAGAAGAGAATGGTATTATTTCTATCTTCCTAGCCGTTGTCTAATTGTTCAAACTCAGCAAATGATCTTGCTTTCTAATATTGCCATCATTTTTCTTCATCCAATTAAAGACGATTGCAGGCTGAGTTCGTTCAGTATATATACAATGTATGTACGTTTCCCAGGATCTTCAGAATGTTGTAATTTGTGTGCCAAAGAAATTCACGTAATTCTTAAGTGAAACAAAGTCTGTAACTTAGAGTGAGAGAGCCACAGATAATCAGACAGATCAAGAAGATTTGTGAGTTTTTTTTATAGCTTTTCGCACATAAAAATGTCGGGAGGGGAAAGTGGAGGGTACTCTCATCACATGATCGTTGAACCGGGACTTCAGGCAGGGGTGTGCCTTAAAGCTCGGAATAGCACTTTGGCTGAATTTGCTTGGAATGCCTCAGATGTATCAGACTTGTCTTCGAGAAACAATTTCACGATAGCTGTGAGATTTCTTAGACGAATATATTTTTGCTTGATGTTTATTATTTCTATCATTATTTTATTGAAGTACACTAAAAGATATTAAAAGAATAGTCGAAACTCCGGAATTTTCCATATTTTCGGCAATGCTGTATGCCTACCACGGCTCGAGAGTCGTCCGCTTAACAGATGCCGCCAGTTTTATTTGATTGCCCTGTAAAACATATATCAGGATTGCAGGCCGACTCAACAGTCATAAATGTATCACAGCCTGACTTTATCGTAAAAAATTCTCATTCTCCTTCTCGCCACGTCGACTAATAAAGTATTTATGGTATTAAAAACGTCACTGATTACAGGCTAATTTATTGACACAGTGCGAAAGAACGCTTTTGTGGAATGTTCATTTTATATTTACTTGTTTACTCGCAAAATAAACTTTACATTGTACGTGTAATGTATGACCATATTAACCGTTACAATGTACATGTGTAGTGTATGAGCATATTAAACATTAGAATGGACGTGCATATTGTATGGTCTCATAAATCGCTACAATGCATGTATATATTATATGACCAAATTAACAGTACATTATACCTGTAGAGTGTATGGCCAAAGTGACTGTTACAATGTACAAGCATAGCGTATGGACAAATTATACATTAAAATGCACGTATATGATATATGATCAAATTTAATGTTACAATGCGGTTTTATATCGGATGGCCAAATAAAACATTATCATGTATGTGTATGACCAGTTAAATCGTAACGAGGTACGTGTATAATGTATCGATAAATAAACAGTTACAACGTATGATGTATGGCATTAAATAAAGCAGTGTACATATATATATATATATATATATATTGTGTGGGTAAATTAAACGTTACCATATACAGGAATGAACGCTCTACTTTAAGTCAAACGTGAGGCAGCGACAAGGGAGACATTTAGATGAAATATGAAGATTTCAAGTTCAGTCGCATCTTAGGATCGGGGAGGGGGGGGGGGGCAGTTTCAGCCATCCAAAAATACAGGGCACACACATGCAACATGCATTCACCTTTCGCATACACCGAGGGGCCATTCTTAAATGACCGTAGTTGTTGATAAGACGTTAAACAACATCAAACCTACCCTACATAATGCTTCTAGTTCGTGTTCAAAATTATCACGTGCTATATATGCTATATTTAAGATTTATTTTTAGCTTTGTCCTAACCAAGAGCGAGAAATATATTTTGATGCTGAAAATACTTTAAAAAAAAACTCGATATAAAATGGCTTCTTCATAAAGAACAGAACAGCCACAAAGCTGTTGCTTGTTCGGAATGTCATTTTAATACCATTGTGTTCTATTACAGCAAGGAGTAATCGTTGAAAGAAAGAAGACTATAAATATATTTTTCGCAAAATAGCAACGTTTTTCTTGATAGAAACAAGAAACAGACACAGTAAGATGCAGAATCATCTTTTTTTTTCAGTTTTTGAATACGCGAATTGGATTGATACTGTTAACATTGGCACCGCCTACAACACTCAAGCTCATTGTTAATTGCGTGGTATTGCAGTGTTCTTAAAGACATAAGGTAGATTGCCTTCACTGGGGAGTGTGATAAACAAGTCACAGATAGAAATTTTGATATGGAGGAACTTTGCACTGGACATCAAAGAATCTTACTTCAAAGGGTGAAATTCCTTCGTAATGGTAGGTTTTGGCTATTAGCTCCGGAAGCGCTCTCTATATGGCATTGGCTATTGCAAACAATTTACCACTAGAAAACCGAAAATAAAAAAAATATATTATGAAAGTAATATTTATTTTTCAATACAGCTATTCCCTATAGGGACTTAAAGGGAAGCTGTGATGGTTTGATGAATCAGGCGACAAGAACTTCTAAGACTCCCCGTGACACTGAAAGCCGTCATGCTATACAGGGCAGTACTCATCTACAGAATGAATTCAATAGCCAAGGGGACTCTTATAACACTCTGTCTTTTCAAACTTCCAATTAATGTACACAATGGACAGCGATTTCATATTTCACTACTGTTCATTTGACAACGTTCTCATCTCGCTGGCTATTGAAAATAGCGAGTTCTGATGAAACCATTTAGGTTTAAATCAACACGGATGTTCTTCAGGGCCACAGAACGGTTTTCAGGCCCGGTCTTATTTCCATAATCTAATTCATATTTTATTTTACATGATATATTCATATTTCTAAATCATTTCCTTGAACAAATAGACAGGCTATATCTTCTCTGCATTACCTATTAAGTTGCCAATTACCGAAAGCTTGTGTAAAGCCCGGCGACGTTGATGCACGTGCATTCTACAGAAATCTTTATCGAAAATTCCATAGACATGTACATTAAGCCATTTTAAAAGAATCTTATTGAACCCTTGCTATTTATATAAAGTACATTCAGATTTCAATGAACAGAATACAGCTCGTCATCTACGCCAAATGAAGAACACGAAACAAGAGACGTATGGTAAATATCTGTGACTAAGTGTTTATTTTTTACCTCTTGTTACTATCAGTAGGTCTAGGTACGCGTTATATGTGTATATAGAAGTATAGAAGTGGTCAAATGTATGTAACTTAACGATATGCTCACCTGCACACCTGTTTTTTTTTTTTTTTTTTTATAAATTAATATATTGCCTTCGATTGGTTGAAATCGTTTTTAATTGTTTAATATGACATCCTTAATTACGTCTTACTAATCAGAAAACTACGGATATTACGTAATGCGATGTGTTTGCTCTATAATATGGAATTTTCCCCCTGTTTATTCCACTTTTCGTTGTAATTCATATTTTTTTTCTGACCACGAAGGATACTTGTGACAAAATACAATTTGTTTAGAACTTTATAAGGACTTTGTGATATATGCAACTAAATTATTCGGTGAACTACTGTTTCATACGAATCTAGTTAATTATGAATCTTAAATATCACAGCACACAGGTTTAGATTTAAAACTGGTGACAGATTTCCATACGAAAAGATCAACAGGTATATGGCTTATTGAAAGTATTAAGTTT